CCCAAGCTATAAGAAACATGGCGAATTGAGGTCCGGATCGTTCCCTGTAGAGAAGGCAAGAAAATTGGCAAGAAGACTGGATGGAAGAAGATGACCTTCTCGACGAGGAACATGACCCACGCAGACAATTGCAGCGGGGAGCAAGGTACCAGGGGGAGGGTTCTAAGGGAGGAAGATTCAAAGGTTCAAACAGCCGAGGGGGGCGCAAGGGAGAAAATTGCTATTATAGGACGCGAAACGATGGGCTTCGCTATTACAGGACTCCAATCGTCGACTTCGCTAAAACGACACTTGAAACGTTGGCACTTTGTTTTAGATGACATTTGGTGTATTTCTTGATTTTGGTAATCAAAATACATGTATTTTGCTTCTTAATTGACTCTTTTACCCTTCTGGCCTTAGTATCCTTTTGCATGAGCCCGACGTCATTTCATCTTCCGACGTTTCGTCTAACGCACCGCTCGTAGCCACCGCCGGTGAGGCGACTAACCTCCTCCTCCTCCCCCTCCCCACTGCTGCGCGTGACACAGGCTCATCGGACCCTCTCCACTCAGGACCGGAAGAGGAACCGAGATGCCACCTGGGGCCTCCGACGCTGCCTAGTTAGTAGTACTCCGTCTTAGATCCTCCTCGTTTACATCAGTAGACTAGTCTCGACGAATCCGCGGAAGCTAATCGGTAGCCACATCAGATATGTATTTTTTAGGTCAGATGCGCAGCAGATTCCCAAGCCGGATGCGTGCACCTGCCGCTCTTGGATTACGCTGCCCTTGTTCCAAGATTTTTTTCTTTTCCTGCTGGGATAGTCTGCTGACCGGCGGATGTGGGAAGTCCCTGGTTCGTCCTGTGTCTGGCACTGGTTTAAGTGAGAAGTGACTTTAGGGATTGTTTGCCATTTTCCTTTTCCATGGTGGGGATTTTCCAGCGCAAGTCTAGTCAAGTGGAAACAGATTTAGTTGATACGATTACATGTTCTGCTGAATTCAGGTAGTCATACCAGATGGGTGATATGTATTGGACTGGGGATACAATGCTTAATATCTAAACTCATATGTAATTTGTCTTCAGGCGTTGGTCGGCCCTGGCATGGCCGCGCTGGCAGCAGAAGGCGTGGACGCGGCAGTAGAAGGTCTAGCAAAAGGTCTAGACCAGCCGGCAGAAGGCATGTCCACTGCTCTAGTCCTAGCGAGATCGCTGCTTCCAACTGCTCCTCTTCCGGCAGTAGAGTGCAACCTTCCTGTTCTTGAAGTGCAAAGGTATATATGCTTGTATGCTTTCTGTTTGTTTTTTACCACGATAGTAGTACATATTAGTTAAAGTTGATTTCACTTGTTTAGGTCCCAAGTAGATCATGTGGAAAATATGGAAAGAGTTGATTGGGATATGATACAAATAGTGGAGACACATGATGACGAAGGTCGTATTGCACTTATGAGTGAGTCGTAGATTTGTGAGCTTTTAGGCTTGACAGAGAAGGGCACAACAAATATACCTGCACAAGGCTTTGATTGCCGAATGAATGAAGAGGGGAATGATAATGAGATTGGGCAAGATACTGATGGTGCTACCATTCCTACTAGTGATGTTGTACCAGGTGAGATGGTCATTTCATATGATAAGAACAACCCATCAATGGAGGTAGGAACACTATACCCAACAATAGAGGAGTTCAAGCTGGCAGTGCGGCAATTTGCCATCAATAAGGAGTTCGATTTAGGAGTAGAGAAGTCATGTAAGACGGGATATAGGGCTTTTTGCAAGTCCGGTGATGAAGATTGCCCTTGCCCTTGGAGGATAAATGGCACTAAACAAAAAGGCCAAGCCACTGTGAAGGTGAATAATTTTTTTATTATTTTATTAATTCTACTTGTCATGTAAATTAATATATATCTTATTGATTTTTTATTTTGCAGGTAACCGTCTTAGTCAATAAGCACGAGTGTGTGTCCAGCATGAGGCAGATAACTACAACTTCAAGTTGCAAGTGGGTAGCTAGCAAGGCTGTGAGTATCCTTAGAGATGATCCAAATATTGGTGCTAAGGAATTGCAAAAGAAGTTGGAGACAGATCACAAGTGTCAAATTGCATATGACATTGTATGGCGGGGTAAACAAAGAGCTCTTGAAGAGGTTTATGGCAAATGGGAAGAGAGTTTTGAGCTATTATTTAGGTAGAAGGCCGAGGTAATGAAGCGGTGCCCCGGGAGTGTCATTGAGATTGAGGTACTTGAGGTGGATGGTCAAATATATTTCCACCGTTTTTCTGTGCTCTTAAACCATGCATTGATGGTTTTTAGAAGGTTGTAGGCCTCATTTGAGCATAGATGCTATAGCACTTAATGGAAGGTGGAATGGTCACTTGGCCACAGCTGTAGCAGTTGATGGTCACAATTGGATGTATCCATTCGCTTATGGCTTCATAGCTTCTGAAAACATAGACAACTGGACTTGGTTCATGGAACAATTAAAGAAGGCAATAGGTGATCCTCCACTACTTGCTGTTTGTTCTGATGCTTGCAAGGGCTTGGAGAATGCAGTGAAGAATGTATTTCCAAATGCAGAGCAAAGAGAATGCTTTTATCATCTTGTTAGAAATTTCAAGAAGAGATTTAGAGGGTTTGGCCAAATATATCCTGCGGCAAGGGCTTACAGAGAGGACATATTCTATGACAATATAGCAAAAATGATAAGTGAATCAGCACAAGCAGTGAAATGGTTACAGACCAATCATAAGTTATTATGGTACAGGTGTGGTTTCAATCTAGAAATTAAGTATGACTACATAACTAGTAATATTGCTGAGCCATTTAATAACTGGATTAGAGACCATAAAGACTTACCTATTGCTGACCTTGCTGATAAGATCAGAGAAATGATCATGGTACTTTGGAACAAGAGAAGAAATATTGCATACAGGCTACCTGAAGGCAGGATACTTCCAGCTATTATGGTTCAGCTAAAGGCAAATACTAGAGGTTTGGGACACTTGAAAATTGTACCATGCTCTAATTGGAGTGCAGAGGTGTGGGACCATAGCAGCCGAGCTGAGAGGCATATTATCAAGTTACACCAAAGGACCTGTACTTGTCTTGAATGGCAGCACACTGGTAAGCCATGTCAACATGTATTGGCCTATGTAACCCGCCATCGGGGAGTTGACCTAGAACAGTTTGTGCATGACTACTACTCGGTCAATAGATTAAGGGCTGCTTATGGAAGAGAGATTGAGCCGATGACATATAAAACACAATGGCCACAAGTTGACCTACCATTTTTAGTTGGTGCACCTCTTGCTAAACTACCTGTTGGACAACGAAGGAAACTAAGAATGAAGGGATGGATGGAAGGTGGCCACAGGAAGAAAGGTTCCAAAGATGGTGAATTTACCAACGATGGTGAAGGTGGGAAGGGTTGTGACAACGATGCAGCTCCAACAAATGGAAAGGGAAAGAAAATGGTCAGAAGACCTACGACTTGCAAAAAATGCGGAGAAAAAGGTCATAGGCAAGCTAGTGCCAAGTGCCCACTCAATGGGACTGCAAAAAAGAGGTATGAACTGATTTTCTTTACCTAGAAACTTGAATGTAAATGTCAATATTAATTTATTTGATTACTTGTAGGAAGAGTAGGCAACCTAGGAAGAATGTTACAAAAGCTGCGCCAACAGAACCTAGCACCCCACGGAGGCCGACTAGAGAAGAAATCCTACGGGATAGTCCAGGAAGGGTCACAAGAAGATAAGGAACATTAACACATTTATCGTACACTAATTCTTTCTATACATCTAATTGTGGTATCGTATTTATGTGCAGCAAGCTTGCGATGTTATTAGGAGAGGGCACATCATCACAAACCGACACCACTAGTCCCGTGAGGATACCTACAGCGACAGCACCAAAAAAGATGACTCCGAAGAGAAAGCTACACATTGGATGAATTATTTTAGCTGTGATGAGATGTAAACTCATGCTTTATTTGATATGACTTGAATCTCGTTTGGAACTAAATTATGGTCTTCTGAGATGAACTTGTTTATGCTACAATCATGGTTTTATGAGATGAGCTCATTTGTTTGCAAGTTGTCTGATCTTTTATTAAAGTATCAGCTTAGATTAGCTTCGAGATATTCATTTTTAGAAAATTGCTCAAATTTACAGACTGAGCGCTCCCGGTTGGGCCTTGTGTAAACCTACTACTACTATGTCGATCTAAGTTTCATTGTCGCTGGCGGCTGGTCCATTTCATGCAAGCAAATAATTGAGATCTGAATAGCTGATCTTGATGAAGATTGGCAACTGTGTCTACTCATAATATTTGCAGTCAGTATTCGGCAAAGCTATCGTGGCCTTGTTGATTCTGGGCTGCATCAAGCATTCAAGCCTTTCTTTTTTTCCCCATCTGAAACATAGCCAGAATCTGACGTCTGCTGGTCGTGAGTCCTGACAGCACGTTAACCACGTAATGGGGAGCGCGAAGCAAGCAGTGTCCGTTAGGCTTGGACACACCCGGGCGCCCAGCTGCTAGCCTGCCTAGGAGGCGGTGGCGGCAAGCCTACGAGCCAGGCAGGCCAGGCGGCGGCGGCGGCAGCCAGGCAGCCCACGCACCTGCCTGCCCACTCTTACGTGAATATGACTGAAGGACAATACGGTCATCCCATGATAAAATACATGTACTTGAAATGAGAAAAGTGATTAAAAGGACCAAATGTCATGTAAAACAAAGTGCCAACGTTTCAAATGTCGTTTTAGCGAAGTCGACGATTAAAGTCCTATAATAGCGAAGCCCATTGTTTCACGTCCTATAATAGCAATTTTCTCGGGCGCAAGGAAACCAATGCGGGTTCAATCCTGGCAAGGGAGTCATGGGTAACCGCCTTGAAGTCAACCATGGCCCGCCAATCTCATCAGGGTGAGTGGATCTAGGCTCAAGGAGGGCAATTCCAAGCTTAGCAACGGGGAGGACCCCGCAACGACCGAAGAGGGGGACAGGATAATTGGAAAGATGGTGGCCGTGAGAGAGCTTTGGTTGTTAGTGAAGGTAATCGACCCTCCACTAATCCTGATATCAGATGCTTTCGCTGCTTGGGCATTGGCCATCACCAGATTGATTGTAACAAAGAGCCGATATGCTATAAATGCAAGGAGAAAGGTCATATGACCATAGATTACAAATCTTCAGATACAAAAAAGATCAACACGTTTGGGTTTGGTATCCCAGGGCAGGGGTTCTATGCCCTCATTTTCCCAGAAGCCAAGATTAAAACTCACCAATCTACTGGCCTATTGACTGTCTTGGAAGGAGAAGCCTGTGAGGAGAAAGTAGACAAAGAACTAAAGAATTTGGTGAGGGATAAGTGGGACTTCAAGGTAAAGCAGATACATCATCAAGAGTTTTTGGTAGTGTTTCTTGACAAGGGGTCACTGGACACTTTTACCAAACTTGTTGAATTCCAAATGTCACTTTATCGCCTTAAGGGGAGACTTGAAAGAACTGTAAGGGATTCTAAAACCTCTTCCTTGTTACTCACTGTTTGGATCAAGGTGCATGGGGTACCAGATTTTGCTAGAGAAGTGGAAGCTATGAAGGAGATTGTGGGATTGGTAGCTGAACCCTTGGTGGTGGATGAGCTTAGTTTGATCAGGAATGAGCCAGTCAGGGTTCAGGGGAGATGCCGTAATCCGGGTGCTATCAGGGGTTCGATAGAAATTTTCTTTAATGGGATTGGAAAGCTTATTCGGTTTGAGGTTGAAGGAGTTAGCTAGGGAGGCATGAAAGGGGGGAAAGGGGATCCTCCTAGTCCTGGCAAGCCGGATGACAAGAATGACAAGGACAGAGATAAATACCAGAAAGAGGATAAAATCAAGAAGAGTTCTGGCAAGTTTGATCGAATTGGAAAAGTTGACAAAGAAGCTGATTCGGGACATGAGGAATCCATGGAGGAGGATCTGGAACAGCTAGATAATCAGGATGGTGGCTATGAAAACTTCACATCTAACATGGTCCCTTTAGCTGCCTTTCATCCAAACTAGCCACTGCTGCCCGCGCTTCACTGCGGGTAATGTGCTTGGTATAGGTAGCTCATATGTCTAATATGTTTTCTCATCGCGTTGGTATGAAAGATTGGTCTATTTGGTATATTAAACGGGTAAATATGGGAAGGAAATGTAACATGGCTTTTTTCATTACAATGTTGTAAACGAACATAGAGGTTGGTTGTCATTACATGGTGCCTATTGTAGGCCAACAAATCAATGACATGTTAGTGGAAAGAAGTATTTGATGGAGTTGGGCTCAAGCAACTAACACACTTAGATCCGAAGCACAACATTGGCTAGGATTACATTATAGGTGGAAAGAGCAAGAACTACAACACAAGTATGTCTCCTAACACGAGGGTTTACAAAAGAGTGAATTAGGATCCACTCCCCTTAGGCGAAACTACAACACATTTCATAAATCTAGAATCACACGAAAGATTACACGGCGTCGAACACTAAATTACACCGGGATTTAAAGTTACATGGTTAATTGCAACCTAGTACAACCAAGGCTTACTCCAGAAGTCAGGATAGACGAGAGCAATGGAGAAACAACAAGATAATGATTACCCAAAACATGGCGTATGACCAACAGATCTAGAAACAGGAGACTGAGAAGTCAAACATCGTGAACCATAAGACCAAACTAACCAACGGTAGACTTGAACTTCTTCGAAAACCAGATCCCTTCTTCTCAGATTACACCATCACCTCTGTCAGATGAACCTAGTTCCACAATGATGACTGGATCTCGTAGCTCTACTTCGGATTCGAGAGGGACGAGGATGAAGAAGAAGAGCAAGGACCAAGGGCATCTTATAGTGGCGAACGAAGATGGGGCGCAGCGCATCGGAAGTGGACACGACATGGATGTGATACACTGCTGGTTCACGCTGTGGGGATACAGCCGGCCATGGCATGCTTCCTGCGCAAGCGAGCGGGGGGGGGGGATAAAGGAGAGGAGAGAGGGTTCGCTCGATGAGGGAGGCGTGCGGGCGGCCTTGTCCCCAAAGGAAGAAAGAAGGGAGGGGGTCCGGTACAGGGATAAGGTCGAGTATCAAGAGCGGATCGGAGGCCGGGAAAAGTAGAAGCACACAGTGCACGAGGACGGCAAGTACGGCATGATGTCATGGCCATGCGAGGACAGGGTGCTAATGGGCCCGACACCGATGGCGTCCGCGGGGCACGCGGTGACAGCGACCCGACGTGCGTAGTGTGGTCGAGCTAGGCACAGTGCTTGGGACTAGACATCCACTCAGGCTTTTCTAAGCACTCCCTACTACCCAAGGCTAACTTTTCCTTGGTGTTCTTCTTTCCTTCCCTTCCTTGTCCACAATATGCGCCAACCTTTGTATGAAGTGAGATCGCAACATACATACTTCCTCCAAAACCACCTCCTCTTATTTACTTTGAGAGAACACTATTTCATCAACCCATTGTGGATTTCCTGTTCAAACACCCAAACATTTGTATCAAAAGCGGTATGGCAGTGTAACTTGGTAAAGGTACTTGGTCAACAACCTTGATACTAGCACATGCCGAGAAGTGTCACCATGTAGAAGCTGTTCCACAGGGGCCCTCGGTTTCATCGTGGTACCATAAGCTATTAACTAGGCAACCACTACCAACTTACATGCAATGAAGACGGTGGGGTCATGGACCACAGAATCAGAGGAATATTGTAAGGGAAGATTCAAACAACAAGGTTTCCTTTCGCAACAAGGGACAAGGACTTCAAATCCAACAACGGATCTGATTTAAAGAGATTCAAGTGTTCTGCTGGGACATACACTATTAGTCGATACAGTGTCTCATGTTATCCAGTCACGGCTGGTCTACTCGCATCCGAATGGTAATTTCTCTTGTAACCCACTTAACATCGCCCTTGAAAACCCTAAGCACGACTAATGAGACTTAAGGTAGATGGACGCAATAACACAGCGGAATAAATACAATGCATATTCCAAACGTCCTTATGCTGGTACAACATATAGGCAATTACTCTCCCATTCTCGACACATCGTTCACCTTTCCTATGATCGGACTACCTCAACAACTACGGATGAAATACAATAGAAAGATTACAATACCGGTGGACAGCGATGAAAGACACGACTAACTACGGGTACATCATCCAAAGGCGACTAATCTACTTTAGACCACGCATCTTCATTCCCAGGCTCGGTGGATTCTTCTACCGCCCTGGCTATGGATCTGCCTCCTCTCTTAGCAATGGCTGAGTGAGAGGAATCAAGGACTCTACTTTTGACACTTCTGAGGGTGGAGGTGCTGGCGGTACTGTAGCACCGGTTCTCCTTCTTTCTGGTGGGTGGACAGGGATCCCCTCCATGATCAAGAGATACTACCGTTCAGCAGCCAGCGTCCTCCGCTTGGCCCTGGTGACAAGGTAGGCCTCTCCCAACTGATGGCCATGTCGATCTTCAGTATCCTTCAGAGCTTCCGACATGGCAGTCTCCCGACTCTCAGCGGCTGCCGCACTGGCATGCGCTTCGACAAGCTGCACCTGGAGCATCCTAGAGAAGATCTCAGCTTCCTCGGCTCGCCGAAGGCACTTCCTCAGCTCCGAGGCTTGCCGGTCATACTGCTCATCTAGAGCAAGCACGTACGTGGTCAAGTGCACCGTGATAGGACTATCTTCTTGCGCATCCCGCCCTTCAAAGCCTCCATGCGAGCCCTACATGCCCGTCGATTCTTTTCCAAAGGTGGAAAGAACCTCATGGGGGTACGGGCAACGGGCTCTTCATAGATCTGGCAAAGGTACCGCAAGGCTTTGTGGGCCACAACCTGGTAGGTGTCGATGAAGCAAAACTCGGTTGCGGTCACATTCCAGGCTTCAGTGATATCAGGGAACTCTTCACTCTTCCCAATATAGACGGTAACTTCACACCGCTCAGCGCCATGCTTTTCATACTCACGACCCTCGTACTCGGGACGATCTTTGACTCGGAGCTTTTGTATGATGGCATATAGGGTCCTGGGAAAACCCTCAGTGTTCAGGCAGTAACTACTAACCCAGCCTGCTGCCATCGCTGGCGGTGCTTGCAAGGAAGGACCGAGCGAAAAGCTGGCTCAAAAGGAAAAGCTAGGCGAGCTAAAGTGCACCGAGTGGTGGTACCAACGGTTAAGCCAGTCCCTGCTTATAAAGGCAGAGCGGCCAGTGGTCCTGGCGTGGTCCACCAAGGTTTCAGCACGAGATCACTATAAATGAATCGACCGAATTTTTCATGCGTTCGGGGCGAGCGATGTCCGAGGCCATTAATGACTAATACGGCTGCAAGTCAAGGTTCCGACAAAGAGGCCAGAAAAGAGTACGGGGAGACGCGGGTCATGGTAGGCGTGAACCACAGGCGATGCGAAGCACAAAGCCACAAGGAACAGGCAGGAACAGGCGCCTCTACATGCATGGGTGCAGATGCAAGTATGGTAGCCGTATTAATGGCGACCAACCCCAACCACCGACCACATCAGGAGCAAAGTGCACACAACCCAAGCCATCTATTAGATGCATGGATGCATGTGTAAGTACAAATGTTCCTGCATGGTCGGTGGATTGTTTTTATCTGATGGTAAGGAGGAGAGGCATTAAATGTGTCCACCTGCCCGACTTGTTTTTATGTGATGGTAGCATGGAGGGAAGGCATGACATGTGTCTACCTGCTTTCAACCCACCATGCGTAGGTGAAGATGTCCAGTGCTTTCAAATTTATTGAGTGAATTTCTGGACACCTTAGGGAATGGCCTCGGACACTGCTCATCTCGTGCACGCAAAAATCTTACTGCTTTCCTTTTATTGGTCTCCACGCCAGACTCAATGGTGGACTGCGCTAGGACCAATGGCCGCTCTACCATTACAAAAGGCCTATCCTAGCCACTTGGTACCACCACTTGGTGAGTCTTAGCTCACCGTGGGATCGAACGGGACAACAGATTAGAGCAAATCCCATACCGTTCTGTGTGGATAGTTCGCACCAGTCATCGTCGAGTTGGTAGCCTACGATGCGATCTCGATCCCAATGCAAACTCTAGCGACCGCGAGACCATAAATTTTAAAAATCAATTAAAATTTATTTAAAACAACTCAATATAACAACCAGCTACTGTGTATATTAGTGCATCAAAGTCAACATGTCAACCCCACGTTAGTTAGAAATCTAAGCTAGTCAGCTAGACATTAGTTAGAAATGCATGCCAGACATTATAAACTACTCTCTCAAGTCCAAAGATATCTAATGGACATTGGATTTTTTAACTTGCTCTCCAATGAAATTTGAACACTACTGAATCATACATGGGGATGATATCCAAATCCAAATGGACCTTATCCAAGCATAGCCAAAACAACAAATAGTATCCAATTAGATTTTGGATGATCCAAATCCGCTGCCAGCTCTACAAGCAAATATCCAAGCTTTCTTTCTGACAGAGCATCAGGCTCACCTTTTTTTTCTTTTGTTTTTTCCTTCCTTTCTTTCTTCTTTTTACTATCTACATGATACAATGTGTGATACGTTCGCAAAGAACAAAATTCAGGAACAGATAGGCTAAACCTTTTCAAAAAAATGTTACACTATTATTCTCCTTTTAACGATGCTGATACATGGTTCCACCAGAAACTATGCCTCTACAAGTCCTTTGCTGCGTGCTTTCTTCTTCCCACCTTTTGCTGCTTTTGAACTTGCTTGGGCATCCTCTTCCATCTCGGT